TATATATATATATATATATATATATATATATATATATATATATATATTAATTGATTTAGTACTCTGTTTTATATTTATTGGGTATTAATCATTATACCAGGGACATTTCGATAAGATCCCCTCCTAATTGAGCATTTTAATAAGTCATTTCCATAAAGTCCTTTAAAGGCTCCTAATTTCTCATACACCGTAAGATTGATCCTGATTTTCAGATCCTACATTTAAGCTCCCTAATAGACTTTTTCTGGTCTTTAAATCACCTCTGATAGAGCTAGCTTTGGGAGCACTATTGGGCCGCAGGAGAAGGTGATCTTGCCCGTATTACCCGTAGAGTGATGTACGTGCCAAAGGATCTGTATTAGGTCTTAGTGGGGTATCAGATGCTGGCTAAACAGGCCAGCCATCTGTCCACTTTGCTCGCTCAACCGCTTAATTGAGAAGAAGACAGAAGAGTAGATCGTATCCAACGCTGCAGAAATACGGATAAAAGAACAGGCTGTGAGAAAGTGCCCTTTCCAAATAAACAAGGCTAATCGGACAGGGACAGTAACGCTTTCTAAATTACACTCTGCTGAGTCAGGTACAGGGATACCATTTCTGATACTGCATATGTATTGTAGACACTACTTAGGCTTTGCACGTTCTTTATTTCAGGTTTACAGGTAGCCCCCAAGTTCCCTGAGTCTTCCCAAGTCAAATTTATAGGTAAATTGGAAAAATAATAATACAGTACATTATAATAACAATAAATGTACAGTACGATAATAATAAAAGTAACTACATATGGCACTGTGCTGCACCTCGAGCTGACAAACTGTTGAAGCTGGACAATGTTTCCGTGAGTGTCACAAAGTAGTGTGTGCATTTGTTATTACGAACTATTGTATTTAACTCAAATTTTTAATAGAACAGGTCTTATGGCAGTGCATTCATTCAGGGATTCCCCAAATATAATGCTAAGGAAATTCTTGTTTCTGACAGGGTTGAGATATAATGCAAAATACCATACAGCTGTATATAATAATACATAAAACAAGCTGTTCCAGAAAACCTTCAACCTTATGGTAAAGTCAGTCTCTTTTTCTGATTTAGTCTTTTTCGTTTAGATATTTCTATAGCTATATGTGAATTAGGCGGTTTGTCGCACGCTTCTGTTACGTCTTAACTGCATAATTTACATCTTTCTCAAAGTCATTTGCTAAAACGAGATTAGATCTCTGGTTAAATGGTATGCTTTCCAGTGTTTTCTTAAGCACCTGAGATGGGATGTACACTTCAACGTTTATTGGGATTCCTAATTCTTTCATATACTTTTTATAGTAAATCGTCACCAGACCTTCTCAGGTCTTCGTAAAAATGATTATATTTTCTCCATTTTACATATAGCCAGCTGAGTTCGGAGTGGTGAGGACATTTTGCACAGCTGGGTCAGCACAGTTACAGTACTGAAGTGGAGAATGAAGGGCAGACAACTGCAGAGTCAAAGGAAAGGAGGGATGAGGGTGAAGACTATCGCTACAGAACTAATCAGTGTTGTACTGTTAGTCACCGCTGTTATGCGCCCGAGTGATTTAAACCTGAGATGCCCCCCCCAAAATAGTTTTTCTATTATAGTTTATGTAAGTACTTCAACTTTTATTTTGTGTTATATGCATATATACTGTACACATATCACATTAAAAATTCGTATCTCAATCCTCTTTCTTTACCCATTGGGGCTCTTTGTAAATCTTGGGTCAGACATTTAGGAGAAAATGGCTCTTTGCTTTAAAAAGGTTGCCGACCTCTGACCTAGGGTGACCAAAAAATGTGTTGCCAGGTAATCTTTGTGATGAGGACGCGCAAAGGAATGCAACAACTTTGCAATTTAAAAATTCCATCCATGCATCTTCTGGCAGTGTTTCCAGTAGAGTTTGTATATCTTGGTATTTATATATTATTTATTACTTCTCATTTGTACTCTGACCATCAAGAACAATATTTCATTTCAGTGTATGATTCCACAATCAAATATCTGAAACCGAATATAAAAGATACTTTGACTTTTGACTTTCAGTGGGTTATTAAAAAAAATTGTTGATAAACCAATATTTCTAATAATACTATAATAATATAACAAACAATATATCTGATATTTGAAATCAGAGATACAAGGATAGAAACTATAAATAATGTTAATGCGGGTACAAAATGCCATTTATCCTATGCTATTTATACACAATACAACAAATTAATTTTATAAAAGTGACTGCCTTATAACAATGACTATTTCTTAATGACTATTTCTTCTCCTTCCCCACCCTAGTTACCAGAAGTAGTAGTGCAGTATAAACACAGATGTAAAATGGACAACACTGGCAGTAGCATACAGCAAACTCGATAACAGCCGTTCCAGGACGCCATACTTGTTTTCCCCAATTAGAGACTGGAGATAAGGGGCCCAAGGAAGAAACGGCCACATACATTTTAAATGTGATGTTGCTTAAAATAGGGGCTTTTTGGCCTTTAGTGCTGGTGGGTGAACATTGTACATAAACCCGCCCGTGTTTTTCCCATGATGTCGCACACGCCCTGAGATGGACGAGTGGGAGATTACAGGGTGCAGTCAGACCAGATTGACACATGGAGTGAATTAAACGAGAAGCTTTGCGTTGTGGCTGATTGGCTAAGGCGGAGGATCCCTCCCAGCTAATCAGCATGAGCACCCAAGTGGAGCAGTAGGGATTCTGGGAAACACTTTAAGCACCGAAAACTAACACTTTGGGTAAATATCATGGATTTTTAAGCACATAAATCAACCTTGTTGTTTTATCCTCAGTCGTACTTACATTATATTTTCCTTCCTATTCTACAAAACATTACTTATATGGAACCCTACAGTTATAAATCACCATGCATCATGCTACGTCACCCCTTTGATTGGTTGGGAAATACTGTTGAAGCAACTGAGAAAAGCTATTATAATTATCCATCCATCCATCCATCCATCCATCCTAGCAGTAAATATATTCTATTGTTATTAGTTTTTCTCGATTGCTTGGCGCATTCCTCAAATGACAATTTACATTTGCAAAACCACAAGTGTAATCTCCACACCATAATGTCACTTCTGCACAGCAGAACATAATTTCTCAATGCTTCACACAAATTTCCGAATGGTTTAGTACATATGTCCAAGTGTGTTTTGTCATCTGCCACAATTTTCAGTTGCTGTAGTCTTGTTGTTCAAAATAGATTACCGGTATGTAGTTTCCCATTGTAATAATTTTACACCTTAAACTATAGTATAGATATATATGACCATCATTTCAGCAACCACATGCTCATCAGTTAACCAACCTTTCAAAATGACATAAAACATATGTTATAAATTGTAGTGATATGCCATTGTTCTGTTTTTGGTTCCCACATGATTTCGTTGCCCTTTTGTTGTTCTTGTACTGCCATTTTGCTGTTTGTGTTATACAGTGCTGTGTGACATTTTTGTTTGCTATTATATTGTGTCCTGAGATCTGAATAAGGTTGCATGCGAGTGCTTCCTCTTGACAGTGAACTTTACATACTGTAATGTAAAGCTTTACAATTCAGAATTTTGGAGATCAGGAGGATACACTGACATCTTGACTCTCACGTTTAAAATGATACTGATTTTCATTTTAGTGGCACTGGCTAATTCATCGGTAGACTTATTTGCATTTGAGACATGATTTCATTGTAAGTTACAGGCTTTTGCAGCTAAACCACAGTGTTGGCTACAAGCATGAATTGTTTTGAAAATGTCTTGAGAATGTTAAGTATGCTTCATGAAACGTGCAAAAGCAATCAATAAAAACTGTAAATACTACATAAAATCTAAAAATATAAAATTTATCACATTTAGAATACCACTGAATCATTTGTCCTAAATGTATACATTTTGGTTGGTACTGGTTTCCAGGCTAAAATACAAACTGACAGCACTAGATTTGTTAACATGTTGACCAATTAATTACTAATTAATTAATTATTAAGTGCGGTAACTAAATCCAGTATTACCCACGTGCCCAGATACCTGCAGTCAGCGACTCCGACATGACTGACCAAGTCCCGCTTTCATCATTTGGTGAATGGGAAGGAAAATCGATTCTTCCAAGTCACCTAATAATCTCTGAGTTAATTACCATCCCGTGGGCCCGGTCAGGTGGGGCTTCAGCTAATAAAGCTGACTGCCGTTCATGATGGCCGTGCCCCCATCTGACCTCCTGGGGTATTCACCATTGTATCAGGGTGCAGCTGGTGCCACCCCCCACTCGCCTTTTTACCCACCTGGGATGGCTGCCGGAGTAACGATGCACAGTTACACTCCGTGACCGGAAATCCGAGGCTGCAGCCTGACTCAGGAGAAGCTCTGGAGGAGCTCTCACCGTGATGGGGCTCCTGCTTCCAGTCCCATATCTCTGAGGAGACACTTCTTTCTGACTTAATTAGTCGCATTTATGACTGAGAGACACAGAGCACCTGCCACAGCTGGAGCATCAGGGAAAAGCAGAAAGTAAACAGGCAGGGAGAGATGTGGAGGGTCTGCTGAACTGAGGTCCATGGGGAGAGTAAAAGACAGACAGACAGACAGACAGATAGATAGATAGATAGATGTGACCATTACAATAAAGACATAAATAGGAAAGTAGAAACACTGCACCCTGGGGGCACATGGGCAGGTATCACTCAGCATTTTTTGTGTGTGTCTCCCTCATTGACAAAATGCACCTTTCCCCACACGCACACACGCATGCACACGCTCATGGGGCCGAGCACAGTTCCCAGCATCCCGTCCTCCCGCTTCTCCGCCACCCCAGCATACGTTACTGATCTGCATACGTTACTGATCTGCATACGTTACTGATCAGCATACGTTACTGATCTGCATATGTTACTGATCTGCATACGTTACTGATCTGCTCCTGGCTCTTCCTCAGTCTCTGCAGCTCCGGTGTGTCGCAGACGGTGCTGAAGCCCCTGCCTTTGCTCTCCTCAAAGTCCTTCTTGTATTTCACCTAAAAAGGGACATGAAAATAAGATAAGACAGCAACAAACATGCCACAGAACATTTCAATCTGGAACAAAGCAAACGGTGGTGCCGAACTGGGACACTCCCTCAACCGCTACTGCAGACTGTAAAGTATTATATACTCTGCTATATTCTCTCCTCAACAAATCAGACCTATTCTTACTGGTCATTCGATAGTCCCAAAAGATCATCTATAGTCAGTTTAACCGTTGACTGTTCTTCAAACCCTAGTCTGCATTGATTCAAACTTCAAAATGGTCACATTGATACATTCTTTCATCAAGAAAACTGAATAGTATATATCTCATCCTTGATAAGTCCTATAAAAGGATCCCAAGAAGTTGAACAGTTCTGGGTAAAGTTTGGTAGGTTTTTTAATGCTATTTGCTTAAAAAGAGAGACATGAAAAGCTCCTAAAGATGGTTGGTTTGACGAAGTGCCCGCGACCTGCAGAATGGGGCCACCAGCTGACAAGGCAGTTAGAAAACTCACACTACAGCACACTAGGCCTGCCCAATTCTGTCAGTTACCATAGAAACATTTAAAATGAGCTTTAAGTAATTCCTATTCTCCGCTTTCTTTTAATTGCATGTTCAACGTGCCATCAGTAATTATGGCAGGAATGAGCAACTTCCTGCCATAAAGGCCTTTAATCAGAGTCATTACTAGGATGGCAGGATATTCAATTTACTATTCCAGGTGTATAACCAATGTTACACTATAATTATAGTTTTCAGTGTTTTGTTCTTGAACTTATGGGAAATCGATTCATACACGGAGATGGACAATAACTGTCAGTTCCTTTTTGACCAGCAGGGGTCGATATACATTATCTTCATGGTTTATTGAATGGTCTGAAACAATCCTTTAGTCACATGGATTACAAATTACAGTTGTTTTATATGGGGGACTTCTGGCATGAAAATGTAAATAAACTCACATCTTCAATCAGAAAAGTTTAACTAAGACACCTGAAAAAGTGGGTAATACATCCAGTATATACAGCCATACAGTAAATTGTCATCTCAATTCATTGAATTAAAGGATTCATGCACTCTCGATACAGAGTACAAGCGTGCAGTAAGAAGATAAAATGAGTATTGAATCAGCACTTCCCTAAATACTGCTGCACAATCAGGCAAACTATTATTGCTATATACTTACACCTAGGGGTGTAGATGTCTGGCAAGGCATGATATGTGTCATGGTTGAGTCAATAGTAAATACCCTACCCTCCCAAGGAAAGGCTTACAAAACATGATGAAAATGTCCAACAGGTAGAAAAAAACAGACAATGGACAAAGCAGTCAGCCTTGGCTTCAATGAAGCTAAATAGCAACCATTTTCCACAAACATTTCTAGATCATCTCCAATGTTGGAAATTTGTTCAGATTCCTCCAGGGGAAAATACTCCAAATTCTTCTGATATTATTTCTGATAGATTTGAAAGTTTGGAGACCAAACAGATAAGTCAACAATGAATTAAATAAATAAACCATTTGAAATATTTTATTTCTACAAGTTAACAGTGTTCTCTTCCATTACAGAGTAGAAATGGCGGCATTAAGAAGCTGTTAGTTTGCCTTGTAATTGCATGTGAAATGTGAGACAACATAAATTCTCATTACTCCTGGTTCCAGTCCATTGCGCTAATGGAAGTATAGCATTCACAGCAAATTGCATCTTCTCAACTATGACCTGATTCATAATAAGATGATGATTTCCTACATCACTACTTATCTAAGGCGCCCCTAAAAGTTGCCCCAAAGGACTAAGGACTTTGCCTTTTTAATAATCACATCTTATATATGATTTTTAGCATCAGGCTCAGTCAATCAATGAAATATACAAACAAAACTGCTAGACGGTAAACTTCTCCAAGTGGACACACAGATAACTGAGGAGAAGTAGCCTACTAGGCAACATGATACCTTTGTACAATATGGAGTCCTATCACATCGCTAACGTTAGCAAGATTGTTAAGAACACAGACTGTTAGCCAGGGGCTTGTATCATATAGCTGGATTTCTTGCTTAGCCGTATCACTTATGATGATTAAGGTATCCCAGTTTAAATGGGCTTTATCTTCATTCACTTACATTTAGCCCAGATTACCTTAAATCCGACAAGCTATCTGGCTAAGCGAGAAATCCAGCTTCATGGTAAAGGTTATGGTTTATTCCTCCCATCATACTCCCCATGAAGCAGGTAAGAGCAGGTTTGGAGAAGGGGTCACAGTGAAGGATCAGCCAGTGTCCAGCCCGCCTGCAATTAGGAGAATAAGGGCCTTGATCCAGCAGTGGTGTCAGTGTGCTGCCCCTGGGCTTTGAACCCACAGCCATCTGATCACAGAGTCTTAACCTGCTAAGCCATATCAGTGCCCCCACCCCCGGGCTTGCTGTTGTCCTACTAATCGATATAAACTGCTAGTCACTTTGGATGAAATCGTCAGCTGAGCTTGCAAACATCTGACTTTTGCGCAGGAGACAATCTGGCAAACGGCCGGCAGAGGGATCCTTCAGCTTGGCGGCAACGTGGACATGGGGGAGGATGTCTGGGTTCCTAATGGTAGCATTTGTCTGAATGCCAGAGCTCTGACAGGACCGCCTGGTGATGCATCACCCAGAAGGACCTCTGCAGAGTTCTGTCAGCTCTGTTGGATTAGCCACTCCGAGCCTAAATGACAGCATCAGTGCAGGGCTGCGGCCCTCAGTGTATCCTGCATGGACCTGACCTTAACCCTGAGATGGTTGGTTCCTCTGAAACCCAAAAGACTGGATCCAACATCCCAGTCCATTTACAGGAAGAAACTTAAGTTCGGAGTGTGGCTCAGTGGGTGAGGATCAGGGGCGGACTAACATATCTGGGGGCCCTGGCTTTCCTTATTTAATTTCTTTCCTTCCTTGTTCCCGTTCTGTATCTCTCTCTAATGATGTTTAATGCATCGCAACACACCCATGTAAAGTGCTCTGGGACGACTCTACTGAGAAAGGCGCTATATAAAATCATATTGAACTGGACTGAATATTAGTCCTTATTAATAAATAAAAATGATTGCCCACAAATGACTAAAGATGGGCCGTACATCTGGAATACATCCAGGAGCTTGTGGTCAGCAGGCACCTGTTATATTTTGATGAGGGAGGAAACTCGCCATATTCCTCCTCCTTGGGTTACTCAGATACCTCTGAACACCTACACAGCACCAATAAGCCCTGTGTTAATAGAACAGAGGCACTTTATTTACCCCTGTGGGGAAATTGGATGGTTTTCACATATACCATCTTGCGCTCCAAGAGACACACTGAAACGAGTGTTTATACAGATGAGCACTCATGTCAGGGTCATAGTCCGACACCCCTAGAGCATTTTGGGTATTTTGGGTGATATGATTACTCTGACAACCTCAGGACTTGAACCCACGGCCTTCGAGGGTAAGGTGAAGATTTATTAGCTAAAAAGCCACACCCCACCCTTAATCTGCAACCTTGGTGTTATTACTGCAACCCTGAGCTAACGGAGTGAACCTTTCAATGTAAAATTAACGAGGCACTAAAAAGCATTGGCAGAGGTGGGGCATCTTTCTTTCTGCCAACAAGGTTTGTGAATTGACCGTATAGCCCCACTGCTCATGCCCTTCCTGCGATCTCCCTGCCCATAAGGTGCTCGGGGTGGGGGTGGGGGTGGTACTGACAGATGGAGTAATGGTGTGGAGCAACAAAATGTTGTCCGCTGCCAGCAGGATCCCAGACAAAGGCACAAGGTCCAGGACCCAGACCTACAGGAGGAAAGTGCCTGAAGATGTCTACTCTTCCACAACAGTAATTATTTCACAGATTTTAATTGTTGTTATTTTTTAAATTACTTGAATGTACCACCTTTCTTGACCTTAGTCGGTCAAGAAAAATCTAAACACAACTCAACCGAAAACTCGGAGCACGACAAAACAAAGCAGACCCGCTAAAGCTTGTACGGATCGCGATGCATCTCGCCTTCCAAACAATAACCCCTCCGTCTGTCCTCCTCTCCACCTGCCACTTCCAGTTTGCCATCAGCTCACCTCAGTACAGGTAAAGTGCTCGTAAATGGTCATTTATTTCATGTTTATTGCTTTTGTATGTGTGCTTTTTCAGGTATGTATTAGTTTCATATTGATTGTTAATGTTAATTTTTATCATTAGTTAGGTAGGTAGATAGGTTTAAATAGGCAATCACTTGGGGGTCTGGAACGGATTAAATTCATTTACGTTATTTATTATAGGGATATTCAATTTGGACCTCGACCAAATCACAACTCAGCCAGCCTTCTGGAACAAATTGAGTTCGTGTTCCAAGGTACTACTGTATATTACAGACATGAAAATATATATAAATATAATTTTAAGCATTTTTCCAATTGTATGTTATTGATGGAGAAACTGGAGGCTACATTTGTACTATGCAGTCAGAGAAAAAAATCCATTGTAGGCTATAATTGTGTTATTATGGCATACAGATCAGGGAGCAATGTTTAATCAGTCACAAGGTGGTGTTTATTGCATCCATACCATTTACTCCAACAACACACACACACAAGTTGGTCTTCCTATCTAAATGGGGACCGTCCATTCATTTCTATGGGAAAAACCCTAATCTCAATCACGACACCCTTAGCCTCTACCCAGCCCTAACCTTAACCATAAGTAACCAACCCAAATACAAGACTTTTGGCATTTTTGGCATCATCATCATCATCATCATCATAATTTTTACTTTTTTGATTGCATTCACAGATTTTTATAAAACTGGTTATCCAAATGGGGACCTCAAAAGATATCCCGAAAAGCAGGGAAATTTCAGGTTTTGCTACAC